AGACCCGTTTAACCAATTTATGTTCATTGATCAAATTTATGAATTAATGATCTAATGGTTGCAAAGTTGCAAGGTGGCAATTTCGTAATTAGTGAGAAGTCTCGTGGCGTTTATAAATGTTCAGATCTGACGATTGTAAATCTAATCCAAGGGTTGAGAATTGGTCTTACGGGTCTCACAAAAAACCATTGGTCTCACATGATCCTAAGTATATATATATATATATATATATATATATATATATATATAATTTGTTATCAAATACAAACAACTTAATTTGTACAAATGGTGCAAACTACACTCATCCGTCGATTTCATTATTTAATCTTAAGAAAAAAATTCATGAAATTGTTTAATCTTGTGAAATTGTTTCATATAATACTTTTTTAGATGAAATTGTTTCATATATGATTATGAAATTGTTTCATATAATACTTAATAAAATTTTAATGAAACTGTTTTATGTATTTCTCTAAAATTAATATCTATGATTAACACCCTCCATAATAAAAATGATTAACCAATCTCTCATAGTTACAAAAAAATGAACAAAATGAAAAATTATGATTGGTTAAATAAAGTTTGTATGATTTGTACAAATAATGCGGTTTGCAAAGTAAACCTCCCATATATAGATATATATACACACTATGTGTGTGTATTTTCCTAGAATACCGATTGAATCACTAACAATTTGAAGTTCTCCGGTGAGAAAACTCCGGCAAGCGGTGAGAGTTGAAGCAGATTAATCTTAATTATTACAATGTCTTTTTACTTTTTCTTTTTCTTTTTTTAAGGATATAATTTTGGGGAATTCAAATTTAAAAAATGGATATATATATATATATATATATGAGAAATTTATAAAAATAATCATTTTATACAACAATTTGCCACAAAATAACCGGGTTTTAGAGGTTTTGCGTATTTGACCACCCAGATTGCCCCCGGGGGAGATCCGTACATGGTGGGGGCAATCCCCAATAGAATTCTAAAAAAAAAAAAAATCTTAAAAGACGAGATTACTGTTCACCCTCGAAGACCGGGTTTGACCTCGCCCTAGGGGCGATCCAGACTGTCTCATCGCCCCCAAGGGCGATCCAGCCTTTTAATCTTTTTATTTTTATTTTTTTTGTTTTGTGGTATTTTTAATAAAACCGATACCCCATCTAAGTTATATTTTTTAACTTTTTTAGAACCAAATTTCATTGGTAAAGGTTTAAAAATAAACCATTATAATTAAGGAGACGCAAAATTATTTTTATCTGATTTAGGTTTCGTAAATCAGATATAAACCCGTACATCTCTTCTTCTTTTTTCTTTTTTTTCTACCTTCAATTTCACACCTTCCCTTTCATTTCTCTTCTCATATATTCTACTCTCACAACCCTTAACCCATTAAGCGATATAAATTGCGGTAAAGTAGATATATATATATATATATATATATATATAGATACGTATATATATATAGATACATATATATATATATAGAGAGAGAGAGATAGATAGATAGATGCATATACATATATAAAGATAGATACATATACATATAGAGATAGATAGAATATTTACCGGTGTTTCCATATTAGCGGCGGACGGTGGTGGATGGCGGCGGTTGACGGTGGTTGGTGGCGGCGGAAGGTGATGGATGGCGTCCCTTGACGGTGGTTGTTGGCACTGGAAGGTGGTGGATGGCGGCGGATGACGGTGGTCGGTGGCGGCGGATGGTGGCCGACGGCGACGGATCACGGTGGTCGGTGGCGGCGGAAGGTCGTCGATGTCGTTATACGGTGGTCTATGATGGTATGTCGAAGAATAGTGGTCGTTCTTGGT